CAATATGTACCAGTTCCGACTTACATACAAATTCAACTTAAGAACAAACCTACAGTCCCTATCTTGTACGTAACTCGGGGACTGCCTGTACATATATTTTCCATTTCTCAGATGCCAGTAACCTGTGTTCTACAGCTGTAGAATAAGGGAGCAGTCACTAATGAATGTGAATTTTGATCTTGTGGTGCAAGACTGTGTTCGTTCACGAATCAGTGTTGCAATCTAGAAAATGCCAGAACATGCCTTTTAAAACTAGATAATTTGTCAGTAAGAATGTCAAAGGGAAAAAGGGAAGAGTATTACCATATGTCTATTACCATGTGTCTATTTTCTAGACGCAAAATGTCTAGAAAAAGGGAAGAATATTACGATATAGAGGTTATCTATACTGACTGAGATGTTAAGACTACATATATGCTTTTACACTGCAGCTACTACATCTCCTACTTATGGCTAATGATGAGTAGTTTTTAGCTGCCTCAAACAAACATGTTAGCGAGGAATAGAAGGGCAAACACACAAAGAAGCCAAGGAAACACTAATTTCACAGAATTTAAGAGTTACAATAGACTGATCAGGGAAGTATCTTATTTTTGGATAAAATGCGCTTTTCAATCAACATACTCTAAGGTGTTGAAGCAATTTCAGTTTTACAAATTTAAGTTCCATTTAGTGAAAAATGCATAGCTTCAGCCTTTATATAAGCTCTCTTTCCACTGTATTATTAGTAACTCCTCCACAGAGTTATTTTAGGAAACAATTCTGTTAGAAAGCTCAGAGTTTAAATTAAAAAACACACACACCTAGTGTGCACAAGATAGGAATGAAATAGTATAGTCGATTAACCGATAAGCAAAAGCTTATTAGTTAATGTTATGTACTACACACATTTCTCCCCCTCCATGCCTCTCCCCCCCCCTATTATTAGTAACTCCTCCACAGAGTTATTTTAGGAAACAATTCTGTTAGAAAGCTCAGAGTTTAAATTAAAAAACACACACACCTAGTGTGCACAAGATAGGAATGAAATAGTATAGTCGATTAACCGATAAGCAAAAGCTTATTAGTTAATGTTATGTACTACACACATTTCTCCCCCTCCATGCCTCTCCCCCCCCC